TTATATCCGAATTATCTGGCCAGAAGAATATAAATCGTGCAAAGAGAGGGCACAATACTGACAAGGCAAGAAGGAAAATTGTATATTGATAGATATAAGACAAGGGAAGAACAAAAAATGTTACTGCGTGATGGATTTGAAACGTATAATAATCTACCGCAGGAGATAAAAATGGAACAAAATTTACAAGAGATTATAGAAGGGAATTAGCAAAGTAGACAAAAAGCGTATTAGACAAAATATTAGACAAACCCGCCTTGATTAAATATGGTCTTCTTCACTCATTTGTATCGAAAAAAATTTAGCCTTTTCATATTTATTAAATCATTATCCAGATAGCAAATTAATGTTATTATTTGTCATCATTAAAATAATGACAAATAATGTCAACACACTGGATAATAATAGTAATGTGTATTTAAAAACCAAACTTTGAAGTGTTAACTACATTGTTTTATTAAATACCAAAAGCATCAAATGATCTACATCGAAATTAAATAATACATTAGTAAACTAACTGAAAACCTCTTTACTAACTGTCTGAAAGAATTTATCCGGAAAAGATACGCGGCCATCGTTGCCATTTCCAAAGGAACTTAAAGCTTGCATCAAATCTAAAGGTCATTTTAAATGTTAATTATTATTTTTTATATTTATTAAGATAAAATCAATACTTTGGAATTTGCTTTTTTAAATAAATATATGTAAATAAATATATCAATGATTTGACAAGCACACAACTTTATGATCGAACTTTTCTGTCACCCTGTATATCTTGTATGGATTACACATGTATTTAGTGTAGTTTCGAGAAACAATATATTCATTCAGGTGCGTGTGAAAAGTTATGCAGAATGTCGAGTTTAATAACATGTTTGCAATTAATTTTGGCGCTTAAAGGTGATGCAAGGCACGCTGTGGGAAGATATATCATTATTTCTGTAGATATAGGTACTGCTATAGAGGTGTATGTATGTATAATAACATCGATTCTCTTCGCGCTACAACTTCAATGGAACGTCGCAACGTTCTTGCGGTATCTTCTCCACCCGCCCGCGACGAACTCGAGTTTGGCAAATTGGCTTCTCGACTTACAATCAACCACATTCCGCAAACGTGTTACACGTCCGCTCGATATCTATAATTCTCATACAATGCTTGTCGAGAGAAACATCAGACTATCAATATCCGGATTGCATTTACATTTATTATGCGCATTGCACACACAATTATATCGCGATGCATTAAGAAATTCGAGTGAATTTACTCACGAAATCGATTTTCTTTGCCCCGTCTTTGCTCCCCTCTCTCTCTCTCTCTCTCTCTCTCTCTCTCTCTCTCTCTCTCTCTCTCTCTACCTCTCTCTCTCTCTCTCTCTCTCACTCTCTCTCACTCTCTCTCTCAGTAGCAGCTAGTGATCAAAGTAAATTACAGAATTGTAGGATGAAAATAATCATCTATAGAACAAATTTGACGTCGATATAAAAAGCAATTTGTATTTCCTCGTCTATCGCGTTGTTCAATGAATTATCGACTCTTTCATTTCAACGCGATAAATATTACCTCTTTTACCGCTTCAATGAAAATATCTCTTTCAAATAAATTCTGATTTCATCGATATTTTCGAAACACGGTTTATTACAAAAAGCCGTAATTTATGCAGTTTCTATTGGCGGTACGTGTATAACAGTGATAATAATGGATTTAGAGTGCACAGTCGTAATAATGTATATGAAGAATCGTTCGAATTTGCTCGTTATAATGTTACAGTTGTAATTAACTTTTGTTCAACGGTAACGGAATACAGAAATCGAGACGAAATCAAAAAATATACATGGACAAGTCAACAAACGAAGTCAAAATCTCAGTTGGTTACTCGCAAATAACCCGTCGCTTAAAAATTCAATTTTCCATTTTGACGTTCGTAAGGAAGTTCATGTCCCTCGATAAAATTTCCGGACACTTCATTTCTCGATTCTTGGGACAGAGGTGGCACACGATAAAAGTCATCCGGAAGAGCAAGGAATCGCCATTGGGAAACGAGGAAAATTTGTTCTGCTAATTCAGGCAATGTTTATTCTCCCAAAGCTAACAGCCGGCAGAACCTAGACGCGTTAATTACCGAGCATGTCTAATTCAGTTTGTAGTTTTTCGAGGTCTAATAGTGTCGCAAAATTATATCAAAGTTTTTTACTTATATGCAAATATATACATAAAGTTATATCAAGTACTTCTATCAAGCTCGACAACTTATCTCAATATTTAGTTTAATCAGTTCATCTACATGGAACTAGTGATAAATTAACTAGTTCTATCTATGTTAATTAATCTTAAGTAAAATAATCCTAAATGAACCGTCCTAAAGCACAAATTACTAAAAACATGATTTTAATCTTTGAATACGGTTTCAATAATAAAACTAAGTAAACTACTCTTAATTTCTAACAGATTTCTGTTTGAAATGCAATTTCACGATACGGGAAAAAGCTGTAAATAGAATTTCCTTGCATTGGCAATGTGTCTGTATATATGTAACATTATGGCCTCATATTATACATCATTTCTGGACGTGGCAAAATTTCAGGTAATTTATATACGGTTTACTCGCGAAGCGTGTTTATGACGAACGAGTGAATTTCCGCTACATGTCCTACACGACATTCGATCGATATCTTCTTTAAGAAATACTCTAAATAGTAAATCTTGCAATATTTTTAAATAACTAATACAAAATACAAAAATAATCAAAAATTAAAAAAATACATATTTTCAAAATTTCTTAGCTTTTTACAAATTGAATGTTTTAAAAATGTGCAAAACAGTTACAAATCTTATAAAATCTGGAAAGGAAAGTGAGTCAAGTTACAAAAAAAGTCAAATCCCTATTCTGATAGGATTAGATTTACTATAAGATAATTTTTATGTAAGTATATAATTTATTCTATATGTATATAATTTTTCCTTTTATTATTATTTTTCATAAAATTCGCTTTATTTATTTCTCTATATGTTTATTATTTTTATTTTCATTTGAATTTGACATAGAGATAAAAGAGGAAAAGACATTGTTTTTTTCCAATAAATAACTAAGCGTGGTATAGCGGAAATATACATAGAGTCTGTAATTTTTTTTACATTAAAAAGATTTCAAAAACATAAAAATTCTGCTAAATCAATATTAACTGTTTTTGAAGAAAATAAAAGTTACAAACGTTTCATTATCAGTTCCAAAATCAGCTAAATTATTTTCCCCGGTTCAAAATCAATCATTTTGTACTTTGTTTTAATAAATAAAAATTGTATTTTTTTCTTATGCTATATTATACATGTTTTGCTAACTAAAATAATGAACTTTTTAAACTTTAAAAAATAATCTTATTGATAGATTGAATGAGAAAATTATATGAATTTTTTCACCGAAAAAGAGTGGCGTTAATGATTTTTGCCGATGAGCTACTCATCAATTTGAGAAAATGATCGTTTTGCGAGCTTTTAACAAGGAAAATGTTGGATTGAAGTGAATCCACAAATTGCTCGACAAAGCTACAGCGAAGCCTACTTTGATATAAGAACAACTTGAAATTCCCGACCTCAACAATCAAATTGTTCGTTGCTCCTACCGATTGTACTCGATTTAATGCAATTCAGCATACATATAGCGAATTATGAATAACTCGGTATGTCGATAGAGTTCGCTCTGAAATTATTGGCAGAATGCCTTTCGCCGAACGATCTCGAGCGATCTGGTTTAAAGCGCTTTATTCATGAGTCCATTCATTGCATGGAAATCAACTGGAATGCGATAGCGGTCTGTGGTATTTAAGAATACATCGGAATACATGAGAAGCGATCCTACCTTTCAGTAATTCTGGACGGATATTACGTTACGGAATTCATCTTATCACGCAAAATATCATATATAGCATGACTTTTTCTTAACAATAGTGTTCTCTTTTTTCTTAAGAAAAAAAGAATATATATTTCAGGTATAGTCACTCTTTTTTAATTTTCTTATAAATGTATTATCGTCAAACTATTTTAGATCGCAACGAATTAACTTCTAACCAACTATACCACAAGACATCTTAAAACGTTGAAATTAATTATCAAACGTTCTAGCGAATAAACTTGTATTATAATTAAATAAAAAAGAAACTAGCGCATTTTACTCGTAACAAATCATATCCTGTAAAAGCTAGTTAACTCGAAGCTCATTAAATCGCAATATTTTATCGAAAATTGGGTCTACCTTACAGTATTTTATTCATGATATACATTTCGATATAATCGCGTCCGTGCGCGGGCGCGTGTGTGGAAAACAATACGTTGTGTCGGTGTGGCCCATTTTACTGACACATCTGCGTTTTGTTCGAATGAGCGACAGAGTGTCGTTGCACCGTTTTAAGTTTATTCCGGCCAACAGGAAATAGCAAAAAAATATTCGTTCATCCATCGTGTTAGATTACATTCATAGAACTTTATTTAGATGCCTGAAACATGTATTTGTGCACTTGCACCTCGAAGTAATCGGCTTTAAATTCTGATTATCGATGCAATCATCTATTTCATTCAATCGCCAAATTACTGAATGTCGACATGAATTGAAAATTTTAGTTAAAAAAGAGGATATGAACGACCGTGGAATATTTACCTAAAACTATAAAATTTAATCATTTCCATCGTTTATTTTATAATTTTATTTTTAAAAAATAATCTCTATTTTCAAATTATTTATATCTCGTAATATCTTCTTTAATAAGAGATAAGACAAAATGTTTAGAGCTTTTTCTCACAGTACTATTATTATACTCTTTTCATAACAAATTTCCCAATTGCTAAAATAATTTATCTTTTATAAAAATAAATTCACGACTGAGAGAGAAAGACGCAGTTAAACACCAGTTGACGTAAAATATCTCGCGCGACTCGGTCTCTAGATTTTTCATGAAAAAAAGTTGATATAATAATAATAATAATAAAAAATATAAAATTGTATTCACCTGTCTGATGCAAGAGGAACGTTATCAGAGGTAGCACGGCGCGCAGCCATCCTCCTCGATGATCCTTCATACTGGGTATTTCTGTGAACGGTATCGTACGGTTCTCTTCTTATCCTTCTCCGTATATGACAGTGACAATAACAATAGCAATGTCAACAACGACGGCAACGACGACGACGACGACGACGACGACGACGACGACGAAACTGATCTCGTTGTGTCACACTCGCCGTTCTTTTATTGACAGTTACTCACTGCAGCATCCCAGCACTGAACAACATCCGTGAACGACGTACACATCACCGTCATTCTCTCGTAACTAATCGCGCACACCACTCGTTTGTCGCCACGCTGTGCATCACATGTCGACTCCGATAAAGTCCATCACTTGCCCCACGACAATCGTCGACTGTTAGTCGATTATTGTTTTCTGGTTGATCCGTTCGCAACAACGCACAAACTTCCCTATCAAATTTTTTGTTTTTGAGATAACTCTTCGTTAACGTCGCGCTATTCTCTTTTGTGGCTCTTTCTGTGAATCTGTTCTTGTGGATATTTAAACGAATCGACAGGCTATCAATGCCTGAATACTTTGACAAGGATCGTCATGTTCTGATGGTCGTTGACGAACAATGTTCGTTCTCCTGCTTCTCTCTGTACCAAGTGTGCGTGTATGGAAATTGGTTTTTTTTTTCATTCAAGATAACTCATGAATGATCTCTTTTGTAATCTTAGATTTCTTCCATTTTCTTTTTGTGAGAACTTTTTTCCCGTCGCAAAATGCGCAATACTGTAACAGTTGAATTTTCACGTTTTTGATGCTCGAGTGCTCAAATCATGGAACGACGTCATCGTAAGTGCACAGCCGGAATTTCATTTGCCAACACTCGCTCTCCCACGTACAAGTTCGTGACAACGCGGTTGACGATTATTGTCAGTTTAACGAAGCACATACGGCACCGCCCGCATTCGGGCTTGCCCAGAATTGTCGAGAAACGAGGTTGATTTTCGCGGATTTGGAACGACTTTGCGACTCACGTGTTTCTCTTGGCTCTTATATTTTAAAGATTTCTGTATACCCGCGAGAGAATTCTTCTCCAGTAACCTCGCCAAAGTTTTCATGCAACTTTGTTGTGCGCTTCAGTAATTAGGACTATCCTCGAAATTTACTCGCTGTACGTTTTTATTCACGAGTTACGTGCCATTCTTCAAGTCCGTGTAATGATACCCAAGAGATCGCTCGACTTTTCTAAACTCACATTGAAAGTAATTAATTACCGTGAGGCATGCGCGTCTTCGTACTTTAGATACTACGTTAATTACCTCTTTTCCGATTTATTTCTTAATTGCTCGTACACCACGATTTATGCACTCTGGCACGTATCCCCCGAGCCTTTACACGAGCTCTATTTGATATGGCGTGTCAATATAGAAAGACCGTTTTTTCGGTTCACATCGAACGGGCTTTGAATCACGATGAGGTGCCTCGTGACGCGTTAAACTACTCGATTTTCAAGTATCGACAAATATTTGTCAAATCCAACACTATTACGAATCGTTTTCGCAATGACGTCACGAAAATCGACCTCGTTCGCAAAAAAAAAATTAAGGAAATCCGCACTTTATTGAGCACTCTCGTGTAAGCACATACAATCACTTATTTCGAGTAACACACTTGTTCCTAATTTCCAATTAGCCCTTGTTCCTAGTTCTTCTGACGCTCAAGAATTCCAGGTCAATTTCACAAGATCGATGTACGAGTTAGCGTCGTAATTGACATGAGGCGTCTCGAGATCTGTTTCGAGGCACTAAGAATGACTCAGCGCTTTTCGTTTCACACCTCGAGACATCGACTCTCTCGATAGAATTGCATTATGTATCAGACACGCTATGTGCAGCGTGCGAAGTTTTATGACCCAGCATTATCGATTGTCCGAACCGTTACAGCGTAACGACCAGCCCAGGTATACGCTTTAATTCATCGACGAGCACATCGTTTATGCCACAACCTCTGCGCCGCGACAACGCCGGCTTCTCAGAAATTCGCAAGACAGAAGAATAAATCTGTTCTCAGCAGATGAATCTTTGATCATCCGAGATTAAGGGCAATCGAGTAATTCTCTATGTTTTCTTTTCTCCAGCAATTCTGCCGTTATGTAGAATCACAATTTCAAATCTCCACCAGATTTATTGCAGCGCGTGATTGAAACAGCTTCCGCGCGCGCGTTGGTGGAATCTAATGCGCCAAGTTTAAAGCTCTTCAAGGAGCTCACGTCAATGATTTGATCGATCTGAGATGAGGACAAGAGCGCTTGGATTTTAGACGAGCTTCTAATCCTAGGCTTAAGAAACCTCCATCTTCGGTTGGCAGCGTGTCATCACGTTCCCTTCGATAGGTTGCGCTCCATTAACCCGAATAGGGATGTACATTAATCGTCGATTAATTTTTAATCTTCAATTTCATGAAATTTCTTTCGTCGTCGCTCACATTTCGTTGTATGAACGTTTCTGATCGTAGAAAAATGGCAAAAATGGGTTTCTTCGTAGAAACATTCTGCAACAAATGAAAAATTGCTTGTATTAAACTTACAATCGGATTAAATAAATTCAATCTGATGATTATTTATTAACAAGTTATTCTTATATTATTATTTTACCTATTGTTACATTATTAATTCTTATACATAATCGTAATAATTTTTTTGCTTAATTAGACGATTATAAATAAAAATCAAGCAAATAATTACAAAATATTACCTATGTAAAGTTTTTGATCAGAAGAAAATTTATGTAAAAATCTCAATCGTAAATTACAATTATAAAAATAGAGCAGGTTATTTCGATAGAACCTGTTTGTCACAGTTTACAGTGATGAATTTATGGGGTGATAGAAATCCTCGGTAACCGACGAAAGTCCAGCATAGGGTACTTAAACGAATCTGGACAGTTAGAATGTGGGTACAAATCCCAAGATAGTTAAGGCGTCTTAAGCATCTTGTATGTATTCGTCCAATTCTGCACGAACGAGATGTAATTGGGTCTACCATCCCCGTACCCCCCTAACGCGCTCGCAAGCTAACCCGAACTTCACAGCCGGGGAGAGATATACCAGCGTCGTCTACCAGGTGCACTCTCAAGTCCCTCGGATTAAAGTGCCGGAGCGCGAGTGCCGCAGAGTCACTCTCGTATAACTCGGTAGTTTAAGATTGACCGCGGAGTGACTCGATTACGACATACCTCGGAGCTTCGAAATTCGGTGGATTTTAGGATTTACTGCACCCCGCCGGTAATCAGCTGCATCCTTCGCCCGAGCTTTTTCCGTTCTGTGGATAATTAGGACAGCTCAGCAAAATCTAACCAAGTGAATCCCTCTTCATTTCAATCCCTGGAGTCATTTAGACAACATTTTATTATATAGAAACTTCTCTCATAGAGCGTTAAACGGTATACATATGTATGTATAAGCGTTAAACAATA